TTGACCCACAGAATACTGCATTCTGGATCAAATTATATCAAAGGTAGCCCCGTGTAAAGCACATTATGGTAGTAGTCTATCTGTACAATAATGAGATAGGTTCTGTAGCCAGGTCTTCCTGCATCAGGTAAAGTTTCAATTGGCATACCAACTGAAGTTGGACAAAGGCCCCTCCAGCCATGGCTTCCACCTGCTATTCAAGTAGGAGCCTTGAGTCAAAGGCCCGCAACTCCCCAGTCATAAATCTGTTCTTTCACATCTAGTGCTTGCCTGTCCAGAGATAACAGTATTGCCAATGGAGAATCCTGAAGTATAAACAGCAACCCCATCTGGCCTAAAATAAACTTCAGCTTGTTCTTTCTTGTCCCGATCCTTAGATCAGTCACCAGGTCCTGGGTTAGATCATGGACAGCATCTCCTCTACATCCAGGAGTAGTGATGTATAATTGGGTATCATCAGCAAACCTTTGATACTGCACCCCAAACTGTCACATGATCTCCCCGTGGCCGGGAAGCTGATTGAAGGAAACCTCCTTGCCTACCACCACCTCGGAAAATAGAAGAATCACAAATAAAATACAGAAGATCAAGGAGATTATGTTTGACAGGAAAAATGGAGTGGATGATTGGGAGCTATATATAACTGGCAAAAAATATATAGAGCATATAAATGAATTTGTGTACCTTGGTAGAATGTTAAATAAAGATGTGAACATGAATGAAGAAAATTTAAGAGCTCAAATAGTGGTAAAAATGTATATATCCTGTGATCTATTGTGAGGAATAAAAGTTTGTCAAAAAGCCAATATTGTTGGGTATAAGAGTGTACTTCTGCAGCCTTAATTATATAGAAGTGAATGTTAAGTATGTCAGGAGAAACATAAAAGGAAGCTGAATGCAGGGTAAGGGGTTTACTTAAGAAGTTGAGAAAGAAGTATCCTGAAGTAGTTTGGTCAATGAGGCTAAAATTGCAAAGCAAATACGTGAAGCAAGAATGGATGGCTGAATGGAACGGAAAGACCAAGAAAGACATAAGAAGTGGGGGAAGGAGAGAGAGAAAGAGAAGCCTGAAAAACAAGTGGCACCCTATGTTTGCAAGAAAAGGATGATATGGAGAGATATTATAGCAGGCGATATAGATTTAAACAAGATTTAGTTAATTTCCATTTCTTTTCTCTTGATTTTGTCCCTTTAATTTCTTTTCACTGGTATTTCACCCTCTATAATTTGCATCATACTAGAAATCATGAATCACTATTTCCTCCAAAGATAAGAACAGCATTAAGTAAAAAATGAAGAAGGCAAATTTCACTGATTTTCAAAAGATGAATGCAATTGCATTCTAATGAATTCTTCCAATATGTCAAAATTACCTTAATGGAACAAGAACAGTTAAGAAACAACTGTCACTTGCTATATCAAATTTGGAAGGTTTCTTGTGCAGTGGTTAGAATGCGGTATCCTAGGCAAAACTCTGCCCACTGCCAGGGGTTCGATTCTGACTGGCTCAAGGTTGACTCAGACTTTCAGCCTTCCAAATTGAGGACCCAGATTGTTGGGGGCAATATGCTGACTTTGTAAACTACTTGGAAAGGACTGTAAAGCATTATGGAGAGGTCTATAAGTCTAAGTGCTATTGCTATTACTCTGTAATCCTTCAGGTTTATGGTCAACAATTCAATGAATGTACATGAAATGTACAAGAAATAAGAAGAATCTTTGCTGGAACTATGGAAGTTTAGTCATGATTGAACAAAAAGGACCTAGTGTTGACATTTTCTACAAGCAAAGAAACTCTTGTATCAGTTATAGATCCAGATGTTTATTGTCTATAGGGAAAATAATCTATTTTGGCAGATGTAAGCCATATATTCCTATGCTTGAATTTTATCACATTTTTGATCACACACATGTAAACCTTATACAAGTAGTCGTCAGCTTAGAATGGCAATTGGAACAGGAATTACCATCACTTAGCAATGTGGTAATAAAGCACAATGCCACATGGCCAAATTGCTTAGCAACAGCAGTTCCAGTAGTCCCAGTTGCCATTGTTAAACAAGGATTGCATGGGCTCACATAATTGCAACTTCTAACTTTCTGCTGGCTTCTCCATTGACTTTGCTTGTGGGAAGCTGGCAGGGAGCATTGGAAATCACAATCACAGACTGCAGGGACAATGCAATAACCAGAACTCTGGGAACTAGTTGTAAGTCCCCTTTTCCAGTGCCACTGTAACTTTGAATGGTCACAGAATGAATGGATGCAACCCAGGTAGTGGTGGGTGGTAGTGGTGGTAGTGGTGGTAGTGGTAGTGGTGGGATTCAGCCAATTCGCACCAGTTCGGCAGAACTGGTAGTTAATTTTTTGTTGCCCAAGCCCACAATGGACTTCCGGAAGCGGCATCCACACAAGAGAACCGGTTGTTCACATATTTGAATCCCACCACTGAACCCAGGGTTTACCTGTATTTAAAATGGAGGAACAGAATGATAGTCAAAATATTCCCTATTCAGTAGGAAAGAAATAAGAACTGCGAGCAAGAGATAGGGATTTTTTTTAGCTATTTGAAGTTTATACAAGGAACAAGGAATGTAACAGTAAAGGATACCATGTCTTTTATACGCAGAATGGATTTCAAATGCCCAATATTTTAGAATAGTGTTTTGTTGCCAAACAAAAACAAACATCAAGCTGCATACTTTGTTTTGCATGCTGTATCAAACATGGAAGGAGAAAGATTATTTTCATCTGGCGAAGCCGGTCAAGTTTTGCTTATTAACTAAGAATTAATTTAAAGAATTCATTCATTTTGTTGCATCAAATCAGAGAAGAGCCAACTTTGTTTGATGGTGGTGTAGTTAAGTAGGAAACTTTATTTCTGAATTGTGCAAATATATGCCAACCCAAAGCAGCTTCTGAAAACTTAATATGTTAGCCACAACAATGAAGAACTAAATTGCAGTGCGTATTCATTTAAAACATGAAAAATGACCACAGAATACACCAATAAAAATATACAACATTAGTATGTCAGATAAAGTTTCATTTCTAGCAGAAACCTCTTATTATGCTGCTTTCATCTGTGGTTTATTACTATGCTCCAATTTTGAAGACATAAAATTAATTTAAATAAGATAGACTTATTTACATAGATAAGAAATATTCACTAAAATATTAGCCTATTAGTTTAAAACTGTTCAATGTAGCCAGGGAAGGAAAGGTCTGTGGCTATAGAGTATCATGCACACAAATGTCACAATCTTAAAGTTAATGACACAAGAATCTCTGGGAGTGCTAGATGTAATAAGACAGGATTAGTTTTGAAAGCATAAATATTTTCTCCCTTTGGACCAGAGTACAGAACTCTGATACAGAGAAAATGATGAATTTTGATAGAAAAGAGCAACAGGTAAGCAAAAATCGGGTAATTTTAAAAATCACTAATGTAACATAGCTCCAATTTTTCTTGTTAACGTGGAAAAATGCAATTACTAAGCAAATAAATAGTGTAAAATTTACTACCATACATACACCAATATAAAATTCTTCCCTTTGAAGCAAAGTTTCAGATTTAATTTCCAAAAGTGTTTGGGGCAGAAATATAGCACCTCTGCAACATCTTAAAGTAACTATACTTTCTCTTAAGACTGTGGAGTTACCCCCATAGATACCACACAGTTTAGGAAAAAAACATACCAATATTTTTGGTGTCCTAAAGAGACAATATTCACACTCTCACAAACTCCAAAGCATCTTTTGGAAATTAAGTCTGAAGTGCAGGACAACACTCCAGAAGATCAGATATAGTTTCTTCTTTAACAATCACTCATTCAGTGAGCGTTCAAGGTATATGGTGCTGAACAAGGGGACTTACAGCTGTTCTTTCTAGCTGTAGCTGGAAATTAGCCCACAATTATAACAGTCGCAGAAACTTGTAGCCATGTGATCGCCATTTGCAATCTTCACTGATGGTTTCCAATAAGCAGAGTTAATGGGGAAGCCGGCAGGAAGTTGCAAATGGTGCTGTTAACAGCCCCGTAACAATTCTGCAGGATTTGCTTAATGATGGCCGCCAGAACTGCTCTTGTAACTCAGTGCTTTATGCCAATGTCCCAATTACTGTCCTTCAGTGAGAATGACCTGTACAAACAGTCATAAAGAGGCCAATTTATCAAATTCAACACATCTAATTGGAAGGGGAGCAGGAAGGAAGACTTGGTGTCAAAACACGAAGCAAAGAAAATTCAGAAAAGTTGAACTTTAAATCAACCAAGCATATGTGATTTGTATAAAATATATAGACAAACTCTACACTAGATATAAGGCTTATGTTAAATATAAAGTTATAATTAAACGAGCAGAGGAAAATTGTAAGGTTCTTTCATTTACATACTACAAATAACTCATAACAGCTTGTTACTTCTGCACATGCTTATGTTTCCAGATAAGCATCATATATTATAAAATCACAAAATACAACATAGTATACAATTATCTACCCAGTTCCAAGTCAGCTGGGTTTAAGCATTATCATTAATCATTTTCTTTAACCAATGTTTAACTAACAGTGATCTTAAAAGTCTTGTCAAAGACACTTGTTTAATGAACACAAAAATTTCCCCTTTCTTACTTTAACCAACTAAGTAAAATTACAAGCTACACAACCTATTTGGTGTAAGAAATTTAAAGACACCATTCAAGGAGTTTCACAATTAGATTTCACATGTACAGCTTAAGTTCATTTCTGATAGCAATTTTCTTTGTTATTCTGCAATTGGCTTAATAAATGTAAGAGTTTTATAATACATCTTGAAAAATATTGGTGGTGGTTTCAGTCAGAAAACCAAGTAATTTCCCAATTTCCACTTGGAATAGTTTAATTTATATTTTGAACTTTTATAGTGAACTACACTACCACATTTTCCTAGCATTCTACATGGTTGAAAGCCATTACTAAAACAAATATTTGTCAAACCTGGAAAATGGGATTAACATACCTGTAGTTAAAGGAAGGTGAATGCCAGTTTTTAAACATGTTAAAGTATACCAAAAAGATGACAGAGTTGCTCCTGATAGTAACAGAAGTAGGATAGGTTTCAGCATTCCTCTGATAAAATCAGCAAACCTGTAACATAAACCATAGTTTTAAAATCATTCATACAAACTGTGATAAAAAAGTATACTTTAGCTAAAGTGCTCTGTAGAATTAAAACAGTGTTTTCTGATATAGTAGTTCTGGACGAACTGTACAGTTCCTGCTGTCTTAGGAAAGCTCAAAATATTCTTAAAGACTCATCTTATTCCGGACATTCTTTTTTTGAACTATTATCATCTGGCAGATGGTACAGGATAATAAAAACAAAGACAAATAGGCTGAAAAATAGTTTTTATCCCAGAGCTGTAACCATATTAAATATTACTGTATAGTGCAACATTGAAGTGCAATACAAGGGTGGCGCAATGGTGAATAGAATGTGAAGGATGTGTATATATAATGTATGTTCTTATTTGTGGTTTTTACTTGTGTGTAGTGTGCACTGTGGACAGCATTTAATTTCGTTGTGAGTTACACAATGACAATAAAGATATTCTATTCTATTCTATTCTATTCTATTCTATTCTATTCTATTCTATTCTATTCTATTCTTCTAGAAAGTTATCAATAGACACAAAGATGCATTACAATGTATGTGATAATTTTGAATTTCTAAGATGAGTCAGGTATGGAGTTAAGTCTATAATTCCTTTTTATTTTTATTTTATTCTTGTCTGAGGAAAAATACCTTAGGATGTTAAACAATTTGCTGACTAATGGAAATTATTCCCCTCCAATTAATGGAGCATTGTAAATGGCTTTATACTATTTTTCTTAGTTCAACATCATCTTGAGTTGACGTTTCTCATATTATTTCTGTAAAATTCAATGGGCTGAGCTGGATATAAAGTTTGATCTCAAAAGAATTGGCCTATCCATTTCAACCTTTTCACCCACTTTTGTAGAAACTTGGTTTATTTCAGCCATTTATCCTGGATTACTCTAATGCAGGCATGTCAAACTCGTGACGTCACGTGACGTTGCACAATGTATCACGACTTTTTCCCCATTGCCGGCAATGGGGTGGGTGCGGTCTTGGCATGACACATCTGGCCCGGAGGCCGGCAGTTTGACATGCCTATCCTAATGGGCTGATGAAGAATGACCACTGAATTAAGACTGCATCAAAAAGAGAGAGTCGATTTAAAATTTATTGGGATAACATGCAAACTGGTGATACACCAGTGAAAAACAGTGAGAACAAAATATAAAATTAATTAAATGAATGAATCACATTATAGTGAAATGCTTAATGAATCACAACAGAATAAAATTATTAATCAAATAAACAACTGAAACAAAATTTCCTAAACCAGTTATGGAATAATAAATAGTGAATCAGTAAGTACTGAAGGAATAATGAATACTAATATAAATCAGAAAAAAGCATATTAAAATTAAACTTTGGCTACTCCATTTTTTAAAATCAGAATGACTTGTCTTTCCATCTTATTGTGAGACATTAAAGACTAGGGTTAAAAGAATTCAGTATCATATTTGGTGGCATCAAAAACAAATAGTTGCCTTCTCTTTAACATTAGCATTTTTATAGACAATATCTTTTAATGAAAATGACATCTCATGACCTAGCTAGCCACTAAGTTTCTGATGACACTTCTGAATCTCATTTATTATATTTGCCTAACATATATATTTAGAATAGAACAGAACAGAACAGAGCTGGAAGGGACCTTGGAGGTCTTCTAGTCCAGCCCTCTGCTCAAGCAGGAGAACCTGTACCATCTCAGACAAGTGACTCTCTAGGCTCTTCTTAAAAATCTCCAGTGATGGAGCACCCACGATTTTTGGAGGCAAGCTAATCCACTGGTTAATTGTCCTCACTGTCAGGAAGTTTCTCCTTAATTCCAGGTTGCTTCTCTCTTTGATCAGTTTCCAACCATTGTTTCTCATCGTTCCCTCTGGTGCTTTGGTGAATAATGTGACCCCCTCTTCTTTGTGGCAGCCCCTCAAATACTGGAATACCGCTATCATGTCTCCCCTATTTCTTCTTTTCTTTAGACTAGCCAAGCCCAAGTCCCGCAGCTGTTCTTTGTATGTTTTAGTCTCCAGGCCTTTGATCATCTTAGTTGCTCTTCTCTGATTTTTTTTCCAAACCTTCAATATCTTTTTTGTGATATGGTGACCAAAATTGGCTGCAGTATTCCAGGTGTGGTCTTACTAGGGTTTTATAAAGCGGTACTAATACTTTGCGTGATCTTGATTCTATGCCTCGGTTTATACATCCCAGGATTGTATTAGCTTTTTTGGTTGCTGCTGCACACTTCTGGCTCATAGTCAAGTGATCGTCCATTAGGACTCCAAGGTCCCTCAGTTACTGTTTTTGAGCCAGGTCTTGCCTAATCTATACTTGTACCTTTGATTTTTCCTGCCTAAATGTAAAACTTTGCTTTTATCCACACGGAAACTCATTTTGTTGGATAGGGCTCATTGTTCAAGTTTGTCAAGATCTTTTGGGATCCTGAGTTTGTCTTCTAGGGTGTTGGCTTCTCCTGTCAGTTTGATGTCATCTGCAAATTTGATGAGTTCCCCTTCAATTCCCTCATCTAAGTCATTTATGAAGATATTGAAAATACTGGGCTTAAGACGGAACTTTGTGGTACCCCACTGCTTACTTGTCTCCATGTGGATATGGTGCCCTTGAGGACTACTCGTTGAGAATACGGTTTGCCAGCCAGCTACAGATCCATCTGGTGGTGATGTTGTCTATTCCACTTTCTTCTAGCTTACCAAGGAGTAGGTTGTGGTCTACTTTATCAAATGCCTTACTGAAATCTAAGTATACTACGTCCACAGCATTTCGCTGGTCTATTAGTTTAGTCACTTTATTGAAGAATGAAATAAGATTGGTTTGGCAAGATCTGTTTTTAACAAACCCGTGCTGGCTACTAGTTATAACTTTGCTTGCTTCTAGTTGTTCACAGATCTATTTTTTGATTATCTTTTCTAAGATCTTCCCAGGTATTGATGTTAAACTGATTGGTGTGTAATTTCCTAGGTCTGTTATTTTCCTCTTTCTTGAAGATGGGAACCACATCAGCCCTTTTCCAATCCTCAGATACAGTACTTCCCCTGTGCTCCAGGATTTATGAAAGATGTGGTGTAATGGTTCTGAGATAACATCTGCCAGCACCTTCAGAACTCTGCAATGTAATCTGTTGGGTCCCAGTGATTTATACTCGCCAAGGTCAGATAGGTGTTCTCTTACCATTTTCTTGCTTATTTTAATTTTTGTTTCTAGTTTGTCTAGTTTGCAGTAGGTTCTCTCTGAGTTTGTTAAAGTCAGCTCTTTTGAAGTTTAAGACACTGGTTGAATTGTTTTCTATTGCTAGTGTTTGCATTATATTAAATTCCAGTATGATGTGGTCACTTTCCCCCAAGGTTCCAGCAATTTCAATTCCCTCTATCACTTCTTCTCTATTAGTAAGGATTAAGTCCAGTATAGCTTTACGTCTAGTTCCCTCCTGCACCTTTTGGGTGACAAAGTTGTTGTCTAGGTTGGTTAGGAATCTGTTTGATCTCCTGCTCACTGCAGAGTTTGTCTCCCATTTGATATCTGGAAAGTTGAAGTATCCTATTACTACTGTGGTATACTTCCTACATACATTTGTTAACTGGTTGGCAAAGAGTTCATCTATTTCTTCTGATTGGTTGGGTGGCCTGTAATATACAAAAACCTGAACTAGCTGAGTACAGAGAAGCCCAATAAATATTTTTGAAAGCTAGTTCAGGTTTTGGGTCCTTAAATAAAAGTGGTCAGGTCCCTTTAATGTTATGTTACTTCAAGCCATAGCCCCCAGCAATCCTTTCTAGTACAGAGGTAACCCAGATCAACTTTCATTGTGTTCATATTCTATCTTCCAAATGCTCCTTCATCATACCCTTAAAGCATAAAGATGATCAGGCTTTATTTGTCCAATGTTTATTAAGTCCCTTCTTCATGTAGCTGCAGAAAGTGGCTAGACACACAAAGTTAACATTTTCTGAACTGAAAAGGGACAGCCTTCTGACTTTGTGCACTTGGAGGGCATAGGAACTTTGAGTCTGGCAGCTGAAGGACAGAAGACAATTTATCAGCTTGCATTAATTTACCAGCTTGCATTATAATGAATTGTTTGCATTGATTTGTTATGGACACTTTAATTTTACATATTTTAAGTCTCTTAATGTCATATTAGCAAGTTGCACACACTGGGTGATATGTAAGCCCAGTGAATCTCTCTCAGCCCTATCTGCTGTTGGGGCGGGGGGTGGGGGAGGATAGTACCCCATTTAAGCACACAAATTTGGAGAAAGTCACTTTGAATTACTGTATCACAATCCATTCAAGACTTGTATATTCATTTGTCCTTAATTGTTCCATCCCTACTCATCTCTCTTTCACTTTATTTTTGATGTGGTCTTTCACTTTTTATATTGTGGCTTCTTCTATTATTTTACATGTTGTAAGATTTCCTATCTGCATGTGTGAAGTCAATGTCTTCTTGTTAATATTACATACAGAGAAATACTTCCTTAATTATCAAGCAATGTTGGCATTAATAATTGCCATTTCAGACCAAGTCTTGCATTCCAACTGAGGCTAATAATATGCCCTAAGAAACAGCATTCTGCTCTTTTTCTCTATCTAGCAACCAACATTCAGAAAACTGGTCTAGTTCTAATTTATTCTCCACTCACACACTTTATCACTTCTGCTGTTCATTTCTTCCCCTCCTTTTTTTCTTTCCCACAAATTGCAATGTAGCCCTTGACCTTGAGCTTCCACTGAGAAAGCAGTTGAATTCCTACTACAGGACACCAAGGAGCATATTGCCGTCACCCCTTCAATTTGGACCAGTATTTCATGAGCTAAAAACGTCACTTTGTATGCATCTTTTAGTTCACAATTTAATTAAATCTGTAAGCTCCTCTCCTTATTGCTATAGATATTACCCTATGTTGCAAAGTTGCTGCATTTTGACTTTGCTGTAGTTTAATGCTGAAGGAAATGTTGAGCTATGAAGGACAAA